CCAGTGGGGCTGGCCTGGAGCCAGGTCGTCCCACCGCCCCCGCTAGCTTAGTCAGTCATGACTCAGGCCAGCGTCCTGGGCTCTGGCTCCTGGTCAGTCTCCCAGGGAAAGGGTCGGCAGAGCTGTCCTTATGGGCCTTCTGAGACTCCCACTGCCCTGGGACCTGCGCACCAGATCAGGGGTGTGGGAGGTCACTCGGAGTGCCTGTGTGGTACTGCCCCTCCCCCAGCCTGTTCAGGCACCTTTAGGAATGCAGCCAGCCAGGGTCACTGTGAGGGAGGGGCCAACACAGAACAGGAAGCTTAGGAACCAACCCCCCCAACAAAGGTCCCATTGGCCAGGCCTCCATACCCTAGGGTGACAGAGCATGACATCAGAGCCTTGGGAGGTGGGCAGCGGAGGGGGTAGGTCGTCTCCCCCTAGAAGGGCCTTGGAGTTGTGGCTAGGCCTTGCCTTGTTGCCAGATCTTGTCCCCACCCTGGACCCGCTCCATCCGTTATTCATTCATCAAACGCCCTTTGGCTGTGACGGTGACCCAGCTTGCTGGGACAGAGCTCTGTGCGTCCAGGTCCTGGCCCCACCCTTGCTCGGTGAGATTCTCAATGAGTAAAACTGCCGGAGAGGGTGCCTGGGCTGGGTGGATGAAGCTCAGGAAGGGTGTCCCCAGGAGGCACCTTCTGGAAAAAGCGTGCTGTTTAAAAGCGTTCTCCTGAGAAGTGGTGGCTGGAGCCAGGGTGGGTGGAGTGTGTTTGCCAGGGAGGTCTCGATGCTGCCGTCAGGCTGCTTGCTGTAGAGATGGGGACACTGAGGCCCAGAGAGGCGACATCCTTCTGCAGGTCACAGAGCACATCAGGCAGAACCAGGGCTGGAACTTGGGGCTCCTCCCCTGCACCCACCCACATGTTCCCTGTACCCCCAGGGACTGTCCCCAGGCACCACCCTCCACTGGGAAGCTGGTCGTAAGAGCGAGGCCATCATGTATTTCCTCCTCCGGCCTGCGGTTGTGAAATGCCTTCATGGGGCCCCATGGGGAGTCCTCTCTGCTCCCTGCCCAGGGATGTGCGTTGGTCGCTCTCGGACGCAGAAGATATTGGGGCAAAATGTGCTTCCACACTGAACACTGAAGCTGACCTTTGATGCGGGGTGGGCCGGGGATGTGGGGTCTGGGAGGGGGACTGGCAGCGGAGGTGGGCTGGCGGAATCCCACCCCGGTGCCTGCAGGGTCCCTAGTAAGGCTGGCTGGTGACTGACCCCAGGGGTCAGCAGGAGAAGTCTGCCATTGGAGGGAAGGAGGGTGCCACCGTCTGCCGGCCTGGCAGCCTCATGACGACGCATGGGTGTAAGTGGAGATTTGGGGCCTTTCTGAGCCCCAGGAGCTTCCATCTGTCCCCAGCTGTGCTGGGGTTCAAGGCCCGGATGTGTGTGTGTTCCTGTCCCAGAGTGCACTGCCTGCGGGAGAGCAGAGGCGTGCGTGGGTGGGCGTGTGCACAGGCTGGCACACGCTGGTGTCATTAGAGCAGTTCCTATAACTGTTATTGAGTGCCTGCTGTGTACTCAGCACTGCATACTGTGCCAGATGGCCTTGGCCCCTGCCTCAGGGAGTAATGTGTTCAGTATGGAGACAGACCGCAGACAGGTAAATGAGTAAAAGCTCGAGGTAATTCTGAGAGCGGTGAGGGTGGGTGGGCGGCGGGGAGCTGGGCGGCGGCGGAGGAGACCACCCACCCTCACGCACGGGTTAACTTATCTTACTTATTGCTGGCTTGGTAATCGTCCATCTGCCCAAACTGGACTTTCAGCTGCAGAAGGGTGTGCTGCCTGGGGCCTAGCCGGCGCTCCTAGATAGCCACGCAGTGGGCGGCCCGCAGATAAGAGCATGTGCACCGGGCTCAGTAGATACGTAGTTGTTGCAAGGTCAGGGCTCTGTAGGGGCCTGGGTGCTGCAGGGTCGGGGAGAAGGCCCTGTGACCTGTGACCGCGGAAGGCCTGGAGCCACCCGAGGCTGGGAGGGGCACGGAACAAGTCTCCCCTGGAGCCCCCAGAGGGGCTGGGCCCTGCCCACACCTTGATGTCAGACTCTGGCCTCTGGACTCTGAGGGAGGAAATGCCTGCTGTCCCTAGCGGCCCAGTGTGTGGACGTTTGTCACGGCTGCAGTTAGGGGGCTGGTAAAGCTTCCGTACGCGACGGGCCAGCCGGGCCCCATGGGTACTGGCTGATGGAGTTCATGAGTGCCACTGCGGGTGTGCACGTGAGTGTGGGCACCTGCGTGTCCTGTGCCTGTGCCTTAAGCGCCCTTCCCCCACCTTTAGTCCTGGCAGTGCCTCTGGGCAAGTTGGTGGCTGGGAGCAGGGGTGGTCTCACCAGGAAGCCCTGAGCCACCTCGACAGTCCCCAGGGGTGCAGGGAGGGGAGGAAACACAGGGCGGCTGTCCTCTTGGGGGAGCCCCCTTAAGTCAAATTGGGTGAGACTCACCCCTATACTACCCATCCCGTGAAGACCCTCTGTCAGCAGGAAACTGGACATCCTGTCTCCGTGTCTCCTAGCTTCGCCACCAGGAAGTCCTTCCCTTTATCTCATCTCAGTCCTTCCTGCTGCCTGTGAGCCGGTTTCCTCCTGGCCCCCGGCGGAGGTGCGCAGCTGTGAAGGAGCCTGGCACTGAGCCCGCCAGGTGGGCTGCCTGTTCGCGGAGTCCTACTTCTGGCTCTGCCCGCCAAGACCTGGGAGTTCACCTGTAACCTGCGTCGGTTGCCCCACAGGACCCTGGCAGGTGTGTGGTCTCCACTGCGGGTCAGGAGACGGGCTCAGCCTCCTGGGATGCAGCCGGCCCTTCCCAGCCCCTCCTCTCTGTAGCTGTAGGTTTCGCAGGTGGGGGTCTGTTTCCCCAGTGACGCCACCTCTGCTGAGCAGCCAGGTGAGCGCAGGAACCGCCCAAAACAAACACAGCTCTCCCACCTCCCGGAGGCAGGAAACCTGTGGACTAGGAGGGACCAAGGCTGGAGGGCGGGAGGAGGGCCGGAGGCGGGCGGCAGGCGGGGCGCCGGTCCAGAGCTCTTCCAGAGGCAGGGCTGGGCTTCCTTCTCCGTGATGGTTATGGTTAAGGAGGGAGGGGCTGTAGGAGCTGTTAGGGGTGGGTGGTCATTGCAACCCTGCTGGGCTGACCTGACCACTGGGCCCCGGCTCTGGGGCCCACGTCAGGCGGGGCCAGAAGCGGAGGTGGCTCCCTGATCGCTCTTGGAGACCTGCCTGTTGCTGGGAGTTGAGACTCACTCCCAGGGGCCCCCACCCAGAAGCTCCCTCCCAGGGCCAGAGCAGAGGGCACTGGGCCCGGGTACAGGCTGACCTCCCCTCCCACCCTGGCTTCGTGGTCAGCAGGAAGCTGCCTGGGAACAGAGGCCTTCTGTTCTTGGCCTGAGGGCCTGCCGCCCAAGCCCTGCTGCCGCCTCCTGGCCAGACCCCCCAAGATGGTCACGTGCAGGCGCTGCCAGCCCATCTCCTGGGGGTGGCTTGGGCCCAATACCTCCGACCCCTACTCAGGCCACCGCAGGAGCCCCAGGCTGACCCCTCCTGGCTGGGCCCTGCTCCAGGCGGGGGTCAGGGGCTGCTCCAGCCTGGGGGAGGCCTGCAGCTGGGTGACAGGGAAGTGGGGGCCTTGGGCCCCTGCCCTGCACCTGAGGGGCCCTTCCCCCCTGCCTCGCCTTGGGTGTCTCCTCACATCCACCCTCTCCCTGGCCTCTTCCAGTGTGTCTGCCTTGGTGCCCCTGTCCCTGGACCCCCCTCCCCACTTCTGCCCTGTGGTCTCTCCTGTCTCACCTCTGGGCTTTCTTGTACCCATGTCTCCCTCCATCTGTGCCTCAGCCTGTCTGTCTGTCTGTCTGTCTGCCTCCTGCTCTCCCTCTCTGCTCCCCTTCCCCAGGGGATGAACTCCAGATGTGCTGGAAGTACCTGGAAGGACAGCTTGGCCTCTGTCAGCCCCCGTCCCAGCCCCCATGCCCACCCCCCAAGCAGCTGCAATTTGTTCCAGGAAATAAACTGTGAGGTCAGCTCTCCAGGAATTTGGAAGGGGGTACACATTCCCAAGAGCCCCCAAGGCGCTGGGGGCAGGAGCAGGTCAGCAGTCCTGGTCAGCTGTGGCCAGCGGGAGGCGGGCTGGGAGGGGCCGCGCGGCCGCGGGCTCTCAGCCGGGCCAGGCGCCAGCCCGGGCAGGACACAGGTCGGCAGACGGTGGACACACGGACTCCGTGAGTTCATTCATTCGGCCAGCTGAAAGAGCACGTGAATTTCACCCAAGTCCCCTCACTCCGCAAGCACTGGCTGAGTTAACTCATCGACAGCATTTATAGAGCTCCGGCTGTGCGCCTGGCCCCAGGCAGGTACCTTGGAGCCACACCAGAACATACCTGATTCTAAACTACAGAGGTTCACCTGAAAGCACGATCTACCAGGGAGGGTGCCCGGGCACCGGTGTGCAGGTTCTCACGGCCTGGCGAGGGTGAAGCGGCTGCAGTTTGGTCCTGCAAGGCCTCAAATGCAAGCCGGCCGCCTCCCGAGGGCCAGTCCACTAGGCCTGCGGAGCGTGGCCCTGGGGACGGTGGCTGAGACGGTAGAACTGAGCATCTCCCTGTCCAGCCGAGGAGCCCAGGTTGCAGGGCTGGCTCCTCCTGAGGCCTGGGGCTCGCAGACGCCGTCTTCCCTCTGTGCGCGTCTCTGCCTCCAAGTTTCCCCTCCATGTGAGGACACCAGGCGCTGTGGATCAGGGCCCCCCATGACTCACTTTAACACGATTCTCTCTGTAAAGTCCGTCCCTGTTTCCAGACAGGGCACATTCTGATGTCCTGCAGGTTAGGACTCGGACAGATCTCTTTTGGAGGATGGTTCAGCCCATCCCACCAGGGGTTCACCGCTGCCGGAAAGCTTGTCCTGTTGGACTTCCTGAGAGGGATGGGCGGGGTCTCCTTGGCCCTTTCTGAAGGGATTTGCAAGTCAGCTCTGTCTTTGGCGATTTCCGCCAGAGGTCTGACCATGCGGCCCCCCGGGGACCAAGGTGGGGCCGGCAGAACCCCTGCCATGGGGGACGTGAGCTCCTGCCTCGTGAGGTGGGAAGGGGCACCTGGGTGCAGGGAGCAGCATGAGCTAAGGCCCCGAGGCTGAGGAGCGGGGGTCTTAGAGGTGCTTGGTCTGGGAGGGGCGTGGTCACCATGGGACTGGCCAGGGTGGTCCAGCCCAGCTGTGCAGCCCTGGCGGCCCAGGGAGGCAGCTGGGACTTGGTGCTGAGGGTGGTGGTCCTTGCACTTGAGTGGAGGGCAGTTCTGCAACTTCTGGCCTGCATACCTCTGACCCTGCTCAGGGGGCTGGCACTGCTTTCATGGGTGCCTGATCTACCCTGAGCTCTGAGGCCCTCACTCCAGCTTTGCAGGGAGAGAGGGCCCTACGGGCAGCTGGCTGCCCTGAATCACAGGATGGGGTCTCTGTAGCCCCAGGGGTGGACCGAGGCCAACGCAGGGGGCAGGGGGCTTCCTTCTCTTGCTTGTTTGGAGACAAAACAGAACTTGTTATCCGGCCCTCCCGCACCGGGCATCCTCCTGAGGACTCGGCCGTTTCGGTCAGTGACCCCGGGCAGGTCTGGAAAAGAGATTGAGCTTTCAAAGGGGTGGTTGGGGGAGGGGCTCCTGAGCCCGTGGACGCTGAGGACAGGGGGACCAGCGTGCCTGACAGCCCCTGGGTGATGGACGGAGACCAGCCACTCCACGGGCCCGTGGACCCTGGTGGGTGTTGGGTGGCCATGCCCCCTCCTGCTCCTCTGGTCATTTGTTCCCCGCAGACAGGTCTGCCCCCTCCTGGCCTGGGCACAAAGCACCCTCTGTCCCCCTGGGGCGATCCCAGCATCTGGAACACGTTACCTGGGAGGTGGTCCAGGCGGAAACCGTTTCCCGAAGAGCCAGGCAGGCTGCGGAGCAGCTCTTGAGGCCCGCGAGGCCCCCGAGGAGGGAGGTGGGCGACTGCAGCCCCAGAGTGTGGCCAGGGGCTGGCTGCTGCCTCGGGCCTCAGTTTCCTCATCTGTGTAATAGGCCTCCCAGGGGTGTTAGGGGTCAGTGCTGGGTGGCCGAAGGGTCTCAGCTCCCCACTCTGAGACCTGCCTGCTCTTGAGACAGCACCCTCAAAGTCACCACGGGGAGCAGTGCTCACCCATTAGACAGGGACCCGAGGCCCCAGGAGGAGAGGGGGCTCGCCCGGGGTCAGACGGTGCCACCTGAATGAGTTGGGTCGCTCTTGCCTGCGCTCTCCTGGGTCCCACGAGGCTTCTGGAACAGTCTGGCTCACCCTGAAGGGGCATGGCTCCCATCCAGCATGTGGACAGGCAGGCAGATGGATATTTAACCAGCCCTCCTGGAGACATGGGTCCTGGACGCCCGCGGGGTCCGGCTGTGCTGTGCTGGGTGCGTGCGCAGGGT